CCCCCAGGGAGCCGCCAGCACCTCCACCCTCAGGAGCCTGGTCACCGCGAGCTGTCCCCATGTCCCCTCGGCGGGTCTTGGGGCTCTGCCATCGTCTGGGGCACCGTGTGTCATTTGGCCAGAGATGGGCCCCCTGAGTGGGGGGTAAGGGCGCTGGCGGCCTGTCCTGGGGGAGCGTCCAGGTGCCCCCCAGCTCTCTGTGCCTGGCGGGGGCTCGCAAAGGGGGGCCCCTGGGCCTGCAGCCCCAGCACACCTGGGGCCTGGTCAGAAGCGCAGGCTCCCAGGCCCACGCAGACCCGAGTAGGCACCTGGGGGAGGCTCCCAGGTGGGTCTGTGGCCTACGCAGGTGAGACCCCGCTTGGATGGAGACCAGTGGGTGACGCAGCGTCCTGGACACCCAAGACCACCAAGCCAGCCAGGGCGGCCTGCTGCCCTCCCCTGAGCGGGGACCTCTCCATCCTCCTCAGGCTCTCGGGGTCGCTAGAGAGCCTGGGGTGGACCGGTGGGGCAGATTGTCGTCGTGACCGCCAACGGGACGAGAGGTGCGGGCTACGGACGGGCGGGGGTGGAGCCTAGGAGGCTGCTCGCCCCGCCTCCTGCGCTGGCCCCGCCCCGCCCTCGTGCTTGCCCCGCCCCCTGAGCCCCGCCCCACCCTCGTGCTCGCCCCGCCCCCGCCCCTCCTGAGCTCGTCCCGCCCCGCCCGCGGCGAGCGCAGCAGCTCACTCCGACCAGAGGGCGCAGCGCAGGTGAGTGCCGCCCCCTGCCCTGTGCTCCCACCGGTCCGCGCGGATCTGTCACCCTCTCTGGGCCCCACCACTCTGCGCGCAGACCTGGTCAGGGGTCTCGCCGGAGACCCCCGCCTGCCAAGCGTCCTGTGCCCTACTCGCCCCCCGCCCCATGCCTCTGCCCTGCACCTCACCCTCGCCCTCCGTCTCCCACCTCCTCAGCCCCTGTCCCCCGCGTCCCCCACCCCGTCACCTCCCCCTCACCCGCCACCTCCAGCCCGCCACTCCCACCCCCTGCACCCCCGTCCCGCCACCCGCCAGCCTCCGGCCTGCAGACAGCCCGCCGGGTCGGGGCAGGAGCCACAGGACCCAGACTCCCCCCACCCTGGGCCTGACCTCCCCCGGGCCGCCGCGGCGGGGCTCGCGCTGGGGGGCGGCGGGCGGCGGGATCCAGGCTGGGCCGGCGGGGACGAGGGAGCAGCAGCCACCGCGCGGAGGGAGGGAGTCGGGCCCGCGGTGCACTGCAAGGTGGGGGTCCGCGGTTGGGCGCCGGGGAGGCGGCTGGGGTCCTCCAGCTGCGGGAAGGCTGGGGGCTGAGACCAGGGCCGGGGCGGCAGCCGCAGACTCTGGGCCTGGGGCTCCCCCACGCTGGGACGCAGCGCCCCCGTCACGGCTTGGCCCTTGGCGTATCCACCCCTCCCAGGATCAGGAATGCACCCCTGGAACGTCCCGGGTGCGGGCCCTGGGGGCGCCCCCTCCCAGACACCTGCTGGCGGCCTGGGGCCCCGGCAGGGCCGCGCCGCCTGCGGTTTGACACAGTCCCGCACCTGCCCAGAGCTCCTGAGGACAAGGGGTTCCTGGGGGGAGCCAGCAGCGTGGGGTGGGGGTCGTGGGGAGTCCTGGGCAGAAGGTGGTCGCAGCACAGATGACAGCCCCCAGCACGGATTTCCAGCAAATCAATGAGCACTGTCGAGGGAGTCCTGGGGGGAGGGGCCTGGGGCACCTCTGCAGACCTGGCGAGGCCAGGAGGCCCCTGTGCTGCTCCAGGAGAGCTTCGCCACCGTGGTGTCCCCTCGCGGGGTGGGCGGTTGCCCTTGGCCCCGGGTTGCGTTAGGGCCGGGCGTTTTTTGGGGGGGGGGGCGGGGGTTGCCCTTTTGGACCCCCCGGGGCCGGGCCCCTTGTTGGGGGGGCCTGGCGGGGGCTGGGGCATGAGGGCCTCCTTCTTGGCCAGGACATGCCCCACCTTTGCCCTGTGGGTCTGCAGCCCCCCAGGGGAGGTGTGGGCCCCCCTCCCAGTGTGAGATGCTGCCCCTCCCCTCCCCCCTCCCCCACCACAGTGTCTGCAGCCTGTCCAACTGCCGTGGCAGCCGGCCCTGCAACCCGCTGTGGGGCCAGCCTGGGGGGTGGCGAGAGCAGGCTAGACCCTCACCCTTGGGCCTGGAGGACACAGGCAGCGGGGCCGCACCCTGTCCCCAGGCCCCCTGGGAAGCCTCAGCAACCCCTTTTCCAAGAAGCCCTGGTGCCTTTCCGGATGCTGAGCTGTTCGGGGCAGTAATTACCGAGCGTCTGGAATATCGAGCCCGTTTCGGGGTCACTGGTTCCATGGCTGCAGTTCAGCCGCCTGCACCCAGCGCCAGCTCCTCCTCCCAGAACTCCCCACCCTCAGAGGAAAGGGCCTTGGGGCAGTTTCCCTGGGGAGGGGCAGCTCGTCAGCCTGTTGATCTCTCTTCCCAGGGCCAGGCACGGAAGGCCTCCCCATTTTTAAAAGAAATGAGAGCCCCTGGGAAGATGACTTCTAGGAGGGCCGTGGTCTGGAGACCTCTGGGGTCCGGGCGGGCGTCCAGGTGGGCCAGACCCCGGCAGCCTCAGAGGCCTGTGAGCCGCACCCCTCCCTGGCAAGGCTTTGGCCCCCTCCCACGGACCTGAGGTGGGGACTCGCCCACAGGGAGCGGGGGCCCCCTCTAACTCAGGCCCAGCTCCGGGGCAGGACAGCTCCGCAGGTGCAGCTGGGCTTTGCCTTGGGGACAGGGTCTCGCTCTGTGGCCCAGGCTGGGGCACGGGGGGGGGGGGTGTCTGTTCGCAGCCCCTGAGTAGCTGCCGTCAGAGAACCCTTTGACGGCATGGGGGGCTTGCAGCCCACAGCCTGCTCTGAGGGCTCCCCTAGACCCTGGAGCCCAGAGGGGCTCCCCTGCGTCCCGGCGCGCTGGCTTCCACCTTAGACTCCAGAGCTGCGAAGAAGAATAGAGCGTTGCCGTGCACCTGCCTCTGGGAACGCTAGGGGGGCACGATCTTCTCAGTCACACACATCACACCTCCCCTCCGTGGGCGCGTCCCTCAGGTCGGGGGAGGGGCCAAAGCCCCGCCAGGGTGGGGTGCGGCTCACAGGCCTGTGTGGCTGCCGGCGTCCTGCCCACCTGGACGCCCCCCGCCCCTGCCGTCTGCAGACCACCACGGCCCTCCTAGCAGTCATCCCCACAGGAGCTTCAAACTCTACGGGGTTGATCTCTTGTGAAAACGGGGGGCTCCTGGGCCTGGCCCTGGGGAACAGGGATCAGCAGCCTCACTTGCTGAATCCCGGGAGTAAACGTCCCACGTGGTCTAGTCTGAGTCTCTCGGGAGAGGCCGGCTGGGCACAGACGCTGGCTGCAGGCTGGGGTCACTGTGGGTCACCGGGCACCCCTCTTCCCCGACTCAGGAGCACCCCTACCACAGGGACTCCGTGGCAGGGTCTCCAAGTGCGGGCGTCCCGTGTGTCAGACCCTGACTCTGACACCCAAGGGGACCCTGGTCAGTCCTGGAGGTGCCCAGCGAACCCCTGTCCCGCTCCCTCCCAGCTGGGGTGTGTCTGCACCCCGTTTGCAATGCCTCCTCCCACTGCTCCTCCATGTCTCCCATTCTCTCTCCAGCTCCATCCACGCTGCTGCGGTTGGCCTGGCTGCCTTTGTGTCTGGCTGTGTGTGTGTGTGTCTAAATGTAGTTTTCACATCCAGGTTTTGTAATTTTAATTTTCTTATTTGTGTGTGTGTTTCTTCACTTTCAAGATTTGTAATTTTTAAAAATAGACACCTGTTCGTTTTTCACTTCTTAGAAGTCAAATGTATTTTGTCATCTTTTATCTAAATCATATTATTTTATCCCTAAGTCACGTCATTTTTATTTCACCTGAATGAATCCGCTGGCCACTGCCCTTCCCCGGGTTGGTCTCTGAGCCGTGTTTCCCAGCGTTGACGGGCCAAGCGCGGGAGTTTTGGAGCGTTTGGCTCCAGGAAGCAGAGGGTCTTCACTTTGCCGTTGCTGGCGAGTGTGACCTGGGCCCCCGCCCGCCCCAGGACTGTCCTCTGCTCGTCTGCCCAGCCCTTGGGGCCCCCAGTCCAGGCTGGTCCTTTCCTGGCCGCTGTTGGGGGTGTCCCCGGTTCTGAGGCCACGTGGGGTCACTGCAGGTCAGCTGAGCAGGACCAGGGTTCTGGGCGGCACCTGCTGAACAGCCCTGGCGTCCCGGCCTGACAGTGCCCACCTCTGCGCCCGCTGGGCCGTGTCCCCGGGCTCAGGCGGGACGCTCTGCACACTCTGCGTGTCCGCGTGTTTGCTGGGGGCCGCGTCTGCCCTGCTCATGCCGCGTCCTCCACCTGGGCTCGGGAGATGTTTGCCGCTGCTGTGGGGGTGACGGACACCCCTTGGCCCGGCGGGAGGCCGCGGGGGCCAGTGGCCCAGCGTGCCAGGCCTGGCGTGCGCCCCTCGAAGCAGCACAGGCGGCACCCCGTCCCACCGTCTCCCAGGTGGTCCCAGCCCAGTGGCACCTGTCCAGGGCGGGCCGGCCACGGTCGGCCAGGGACCCGAGCGGTCAGTGCTGCTTCACGGCCAGACTCCGGGGGCTGGGGCAGGGGGGTGTGGGCAGCGTCCCCCTGGGGCGCTGCAGACCCGACACCCTGGCGGGGTCAGCTCTGGGGTCACCCGGGAAAGCTGTGCCTCCCCCCTCCGCATCAGCAGGGCCGCGAGGGTTCCAGGGAGGTGCCGCGGGCGCCGGGGCTGAGCCGGTGCCTGCCCGTCGCGGCTCCCGGCCACCTGCCCGCTGCTCCTTCCTTTCCAGGCTTGTTTTCCAAACAATTTGCTTAATGCGATTCCCCGGCGGGGTGAACATGACCGGCCGTGTTTACCCCGTGACCCCGCTCTCCGCCGGCGGGCGTGGCGGCCGGGGCGGGGGTTGCGGGGTGTCGGGACTCAGGGCCCTGCGCCCGCCCTTCTCTTGCAGAGACGCCGCGCCCTGCGGCCGGCCGCCGCCAACATGGAGCCCCTGTTCCCGGCCCCCGCATCCTCGCCCGGCTGGAACAACGCCTCGCCCGCGGCCGCCCCGGGAGGCGGCGAGAGCAACGGCACGCTGGCGGGGCGGGCGCCCGCGGCAGGGGCCCGGGCGGTGCTGGTGCCCGTGCTGTACCTGCTGGTGTGCGCTGTGGGGCTGGGCGGCAACTCGCTGGTCATCTACGTGGTGCTGCGGCACGCCAAGATGAAGACGGTCACCAACATCTACATCCTCAACCTGGCGGTGGCGGACGTGCTGCTGCTGCTGGGGCTGCCCTTCCTGGCCACGCAGAACGCCGCGTCCTTCTGGCCCTTCGGCCCCTTCCTGTGCCGCCTGGTCATGACGCTGGACGGCGTGAACCAGTTCACCAGCGTCTTCTGCCTGACCGTGATGAGCGTGGACCGCTACCTGGCCGTGGTGCACCCGCTGCGCTCCGCCCGCTGGCGCCGGCCCCGCGTGGCCAAGCTGGCCAGCGCCGCCGTCTGGGCCTTCTCGCTGCTCATGGCGCTGCCGCTGCCCGTGTTCGCGGAGGTGCAGGAGGGCTGGGGCACCTGCAACCTCAGCTGGCCGGAGCCCGTGGGGCTGTGGGGCGCCGTCTTCGTCATCTACACGTCCGTGCTGGGCTTCTTCGGGCCGCTGCTGGTCATCTGCCTCTGCTACCTGCTCATCGTGCTGAAGGTCAAGGCCGCGGGCGCGCGGGCCGGCTGCCGGCGGCGGCGGCGGTCGGAGCGCAGGACGACCCGCATGGTGGTGGTGGTGGTGGCCGTGTTCGCCGGCTGCTGGCTGCCCTTCTTCGCGGTCAACCTGGTCAACCTGGCGGTGGCCCTGCCCGAGGAGCCCGCCTCCGCCGGCCTCTACTTCTTCGCCGTGGTCCTGTCCTACGCCAACAGCTGCGCCAACCCCGTCCTCTACGGCTTCCTCTCGGACAACTTCCGCCAGAGCTTCCGGAAGGTCCTGTGCCTCCGCAAGGGCTACGGGGCCGAGGACGCCGCAGAGCTGCAGCAGCCGGAGGAGAGCGGGCAGCCGCGGGAGGCCACGCCGCTGCCGCCCCCGCGCAGCCCAGAGGCCAAGGGGCTTGTGCAGACCAGCCGGCTGTGAGCCCCGCGGCCCCCCGGGTGTGGCTGCGCTGACGGCCCGGCGCTGTGAGGACGGGGCCGCCGGGCCCAGGGCGGACAGGGCACGGCCCGGGTCTGCAGCGACAACCCGCCTCCCGCCGCGCCAGCCTCCCCGGCCGGCTGGGCACCAGCTTTCCCTGAAGTTCCTTGCGCTGGGCAAGGGCGTCTTCCTGACCCTCAGGGTGAGCGGCCACCTGCCCAGCCTGCAGCCCCGCCGGCCCCCAGCTTCCCCCGGTCAGCCTCCAGCCGCTGCTCTGTGGACGCCTTTGCCGCAGCCTCTGCCCCCCAGCGCTCTCCGCGGCGGCCGGGCCTCACGGGAGGCAGGGCCGAGCCGCGCCTGGCCAGCCAGGGTTGTGCCTGTCCTGGGGCTCCAGCCCCTCGGACGCTGCTGCCCACAGCGGCTGTCCCAGAGGAGCAGCCGGCGGGGTGGAGCCGGGCCGCGCTGGTCTTGTCCCGGGGGGCGCAGCGCGGGTGGGGGAGTGGGGGAGGGGCTCCGCCGGAGGCCGGTGGGGACCAGGGGACCGGGGCTGTGTGTCCTGCCTTCGGCGGGGCCAGGAGAGAAGAGGGACAGTCTGGGGGCCGTGGGCGCGCAGCGCAGCACACGAGGTGCCGGGAAGGCGGCGGCCACGTGGGGAGAGCGAGCACCGGGCCCCTGTGGACCTGCGCCGGCCGCCAGAGCGGGCGGCTGCAAACGGGCCGGGCTGGGACCCTCTCCAAGTCCCGAGGACCCGCGTGTCTGGCAGCCGCTCTCCGGGATAAATCGGGGAATAAATGTTGGTTCTGTCTCAAAGCAAACATGTCCCTGCGGCCGGCGCGGTGCGAGGCTGCGGGCGGGGGAGGGGTGGCCGGACCGGACAGTGTGACTTGTCATGGGGTGAAGAGAAGACCGGAGCACCCCAGGCTAGACGACAGGACCGTCACACACGGGGTGGCTTCTCCCCGGGGAGCCCGCAGGGCCCCGTGTCTGTGTCCCCGGGACCGGTGACAAAGGCCACACACCCAGGGCCAGCATCCCAGGGCAGGGGCCTTGGAGGGGCCGACACGTCCCCCGCCATCTGGCTGCCCTGGATGGACCTGGGCCCAAAGCACATCTGCACGGGTGGCTGGGCGCGGGCAGGCGGCTGGGATCTGCCCAGATCGACCTCCCCGTCCAGCTGAGGCCCTGGTCCCCGGCCGGCCGCAGAGAGCCACACGGGGTGGGCACGGCCGCCGAGGGCCGCACGGGGCAGGGGTGACGGTGCCCTTGAGCCCATCCTCGGGCGCCCTGCCACCGCCGAGGCAGGTCACATGTGTCCTCCTCTAGCAAGTAATGGTGTGCACCTGCTCTGTGCTCCTACAGTGTGCGCCTGCTGTGTGCACCTACAGTGTGCGCCTACTGTGTGCACCTGCTGTGTGCTCCTATAGTGTGCGCCTACTGTGTACACATACTGTGTGCACCTGCTGTGTGCACCTGCTGTGTGCACCTGTTTTGTGCTCCTATAGTGTGCACCTGTGTGCACCTAGAGTGTGTGCCTACTGTGTACACATACTGCGTGCACCTGCTGTGTGCACCTACAGTGTGCACCTACTGTGTGCACCTGCTGTGTGCTCCTATAGTGTGCACCTACTGTGTGCACCTACTGTGTGCGCCTGCTGTTTGCACCTGTTGTGTGCGCCTACAGTGTGCGCCTGCTGTGTGCGCTTGCTGTGTGCTCCTACAGTGTGCGCCTACTGTGTGCACCTACTGTGTGTGCCTGCTGTATGCACCTACAGTGTGCACTTGCTGTGTGTGCCTGCTGTGTGCACCAGCACGGGGCCAGTCGTGGCCATCCAAAGTCAAGCTGGAAGAGCATTCGAGGCAGAGGGAACAGCGTATGTGAAGGCTCAGAGGCAAAGGCGCACAGCCATGCATGTTTTCTACCTCGGGCCATGGGGGCAGGGGAGAGGAGCAGGTGGCCCCCCGGGCTCTGCCCTGAGGGGAGCTTTACTCCTGGCTGCCGGGCTGAGGAAAGTCAGAGCTGCACTCACTGCAGCCTGAGAGGAGAGAAGGGACCAGAGAAGGGAAGAGGCTGGGCGCGGGGGCGAAGCAGAGTCTGTGAGCTGTCCAGTAGCCAGGTCACGGTGGCCTGGCCCCAGGGAGTGGGGGCTCTGGAGGTGCTCGGGCAGAACTGGCGTCCCTGGTGAGGCCTGGGGAAGGAGGCAGCTGCAGCAGGCAGGTTCCCTCTTGGAGTGCATGGGAGGGTGTGTCCCTGGGTCTGATAGGCGGGGGCTGTTCCGGAAGGCTCTGGGCAGCCCTGGACCCTGGACACCGGGCTTGGCCGGTGGGGACAGTCCCTGGAGCCCCAGGGGACAGATGAGAACCCAAGGGCCCCGCGTCAAAGGCCTGGCAGGGGCTCCGGCGAGTGTCCCAGCCACCCGGGGGACAGCACGGGTGTGTGCCAGCCAGTACACCCGTGGGGCCACAGGGCTGCTTCCCGGGAGCCCTGGGCTGCGGGCGGCGCAGAGCAAACATCCTCGGGCGGCGGCAGCTCTGTCTGCATGGATGGGTTTTATTGGCCGCGGGCTCCCTGGCTCCAGAGTGACCTCGGCAGGAAATCCGGCTCTGGGGGCGAGGACGAGGGTGGGGGAGGGAAGGGCCTCGTCCTCCCCACAGCGAGGGGAGCAGGCTGGGCCATGGGGGGCTGACGGCAGGAGCAGCGTGGGGTCCGGGCGGGGGCAGGAGGAGCTGGCAGGTGGGGGAGGCAGGTCGGGCAGAAGTGGGGGCTCTCTCAGGACCTGTGTGGCAGCCGCCAGCCCCAGGGCTCCCCTGAGGGACCCCAAACATGACGCTGGGGAGGGAAGTGCAGGTCTCTGGGCAGGGCTGGCCCGATCTCCACAGCTGCTGTGGGTGGCAGAGCCCAGGGCCCCTGCAAGCTGTCGGGCGGCTCCGCCCTGCCGGGTTCTCCCTCTGTCTGGCCCCCCCGCCCCCACTGTCCTGACTCTCCCCATTGCCCCCACCCACCCTCTGCTACCCAAGACACAGACCTATCACAGTCTTGCCCCCTCTCCCCGCTGCAGCCCCCACTCCCGCCCCTGCCAGGGAAGCAGGTGTCTCAGCTCCAGGGCCGGGGGGCGAGGTTGCCACAGGACACAGCACAGTCTGGGGGCTTTGCCACCCTCGGGAGGTTGGGGGGCATGGGGGAGCTGAGGAGCAGCCTGATGGAACAGGTCTCCAGCCGCCTCTCTCCTCCCTCCTTCCCACACCCTGCTGGGCTCCCACTGGCTGGACACGCTGGGAGTGGCCAGTGTGGTCCACAGCAGCCAGGGACCGGGGAGGTGGGGGGCTAACCCTCCGGGTGGCAGCTTC